AAAAAAAAAAAAAAAAAAAATTGCTTCTAAAATGTTCATAGCCATTAGCCCACAAACTCCCAAACCAGTGAACATAAAGTTTGGCCATTCATTCTCCTGAGGTACATTTGAGTCTACACAGTCACTACATCCTGGGGACAAAGTCTGTGTTTGTTTCTTTCTCTTTGTTATTGGCTTCTTTTTTTCACTGTTTCTTTTATTCTAAAATGCAGGCACTCTTACACACATAGGGAGTCTTAATCTGCCTCATCATATTCGAAGTAGACATAGTACAGATTTTTGAAACTTTAAAAGAACCTTAGTGACAACCGGGCTGCTTACTTTGCACATGGGAAAACCAAAACATAAAAAGAAGTTAAATGTCTCATTCAAAATCCACACCTCCAGTTAAGAGCTAGATCTGCATTTAGAACCTGCTAGAGCTGTGTGTCTCCTCTGAGTGGACAGACATCCTGACTGGACCAGACTTTGCCTGTGTCGGTGGCTAAGGGCAGTGATGCACCCAACCTTAACTTCAGCCAAACCTGGTTCATGGCTTCAGCACCTCAAGTCTGTGTTCCAGCCTTGGGGGCTTATGAAGGCCAGGCAGCCGAAGGCCGACTTCAGCCTTCTTTCTGGAACTCTCCTGAATTTGCACGTAATCGATGATCTTCTGATCGCATGGATTACCATTGGATCCACCATTGTGCCTCTTCTGCATCACCACATCAGTCATGCCAGCAATGTCACTTGGATTTATTGCTGATATCAGAATATTCTCTCCCAAATATATGAATCCATTTTAGATGTAGCTTGGAAGGAAAGATCTCCTTATTTGCTTATATGTTGGGATTCTCTCAGTCAACAGAACGTAGCTGTTGTGTTTATTATTGTAAGAATAAAACACTACAATAATTAATGATGTTTGTGGAAGCTGCTAATTTTCATTCAGAAAAAGTTATTAACAACTTTTAAGTCGTTAAATACAGATACAAATTGACAATACTAAATATGAGAGTCCACTAACTAGATACTTTTGGGAAGAATACCATATCCTTTTTGACGCAACACATGTTTATAAAAATTAAATAATAATACAGGGCAGAATAATGGAGAATATATTGTATAGTGAATCTAACCTTTTTAGTTGTTTGGGGGTACTAGATTAATAACAGTAAACAAAACAACCTATAAAGGCTGGGC